TTTGCTCATTTTTCTAACCGATCATCAGTGCTAAGCGAACATGCCTAGTCAGAGACTTTCACTGAATGTTCTCCATTCAATCTATACCCATATATCAAGTTAGACTTAATCGCATTACTGCTGCACACTACGTATGTTCAGGCATAATACATCGCGTACACAACACGAACGTTGTCTGGAACAAATACGCAACTGGGTCACCCACTCACTCTTGTCTCATAGATTGTCTACGTAGAATAATGGCGAGCTACGAAACACGCTTTGCTTCTCGCTCTTCTGTTGTTGTTTTTAGTGGTACTCTTGTTATTTATCTGTGGTATGCTGCCGTGCACATTTACAGAACCGATGCACGCACAGAAGCACGACCAATTTACTATCCTGTTTGCCTGTACCGCTTATGACTACTCGTGTGACCCAGTAGTACCCCGTAATTGTTCTACACTTTTCCTTTTTTTCTCTGCAAATAGGACGGCACATATAGTACATGACAAAACTTTGTCCCACACAGCTGTTCAAGTCAATTCCACTTGTGGGGCTGACAGGCAACGCCGAACAGCCGTTTCAGCATCTCTGACTGACGGCAGGAGCTGAAGCCACTAGTTTGGTCCAGCCTTGCGATCCTACAATCCTCAAACGCAATCCGACACTAGTCAAACCTCGGATCCTATAGTGGCAGGAAGTCCGAGCCGCAGCGCTCTGAAATCAAACGGCAGTTTGGGCCCGCAGCGCGTACCCATAAATGGCCGTGCTGACTCTCGATTCTACGGCTCGATCAATCGTTACTCTAAAGCCGTCATCACCTTCATTGTCCTATCTCACAATTGTCGCGTAGCCTAAACCTAATCTGGATTGCTTACCTTACTGGCTTTCTCGCCTGGGAGCCGTACAGGAAGCAAACTTGAAAATTGCTTGCATGTTTACCTATTTGTGTGTGCGTATGGTGCAATACACATTCGATCTCATCTGGGCCTTGGCACTGCCAACTATGTCCATGACACCTGGCGTGTACTGTATATGTTCGTCTTAAACACTTCGCTTGGTCGGACCAGATGGCAGATGGGCAAACGCTCCTACCGTTTTGTCTTTCTTCGCTCATTCCTGGTACCCGTTTCACAAACAACTGAGCGGAATATCAGGAAAGGGGGTAGTGGGGGAGGGATGTAGGGGGATGCGAAATCGCTAGGAGCGAAGAGAAGAGTGGTTTCGGGCAGGTTTTTGACGTCATTGAATAAATAAGCACTTTATAGTAAGCGCCGATCGATGATCAAGAAGGACAAACTCAGCAAGGGCGGCTCGGTTCCATGATTCTACTAAAACCTCTGATGTCGAGTAACACGATGTTCGGGGAATAATGCCTAAATGGCCCGATACAGAGTTCGTGTAAAAAAGACAAGGGACTAGGCCTTAGCAGAAACGAAAGCACTCGATAGCTATGCCTTGGACAACTTCGTTTAGCGTATATTCTTGGCGAGTTTTGGTGGGAACAAGCCCGCTTTTTCGTTCCTCGGCACCACTACCAAACATCGCACACTTCCAACGTCTGACGTAGTGAGCGCGTGAACCTTGTGTGATCTGTGACAGATACTTTGTTACAAAAAAAAGAGCTCGAACTAATTTATATGTATATGGATAGGTACCGCTTACCTTTAAATATTTCTTGAATAAGAAAAGGAACTTTTCTGCATGCGACACAAAAAGTTTCAAGGCCGGTTACAGCGGTACAACTTGTTTTAGCAAGCGTTGTCGGTGCCACAAATCAAGTTATTGCTTTCTATGAGAAAGCTTCTAGAACAATGTTGTCCGTGGTCAAATGAGTGAGAAAAGCAATTAGTTGTAACGTTACTAGTCTCTGCCGTTTCTATACAATAATAAGCCTCACTGATCAACTCGTTCCTGGCGTGCAGGGAACAACAATAGTTGACAAATTATCTGTTAATATTTTTACATTCGCTGTTTCAAGTCTGTAACAATCCCTTATGACGCTTTACAACGACCTTCTCAATGCCAATAAGTAGACGTTTGACAATAGAGATCGTTAGAAGGACATGAATACCCCCAATCAATTTACACATATGAATAGTCAATGGGAACTATCGAACTGTAATATAAGTCGATTATCTTTACTAGCTAAATGATCGATTGAACTGACTAAATGTCTAACATCAAACAACTATTTTGAGACAAGTTCTTGCGTGTTCGATCTGAGTTCCAAAAGAGGAAAAACTTATTGAACGGCAAACATGTTGAATTTGGTAGTACGCCGAAATGATCTTCAAAATGATTTGTTTTTACCAGCTATTTTCCTATTTTGATTCCTAACAAAAATAGACTATTGTGCGGTCATAACGATGCGAATCAACACCACGGGCTAAACTCAACACTTCGATGGGCTGTTGGCTCGGTGCAGAGTATTTTTCTTATGGACGTTGGGGCTAAATAACAACTTGTAGAACCAGAGCGTCTAAACCGATACAATGATGGCGCGAGCGCAAAATGACATTTATCCGATACAGAACTTGATGGAAGCGACTTTGCCATACCATCGGGATAGTGAAGCTATAGTTCTTTCCTTCACGCTAATCCTGTTTGACGCAAAGGGATTACACGCGGAGCGAGTATACGTGTAAAAAGAAATGCCCCTATTCGCAAATAAACAACACAAAAATGCCTATTTTCTTTATAGACCTTTTTTTTTTTATATATAACACATATGTAAAAACAGCACAATGACGAATGTGCTACATTTTTAAACGGATCAATTAGCTAACGTATTCCACTAGGTCAATAAATAGTTGCCGCAAGAAATCCTTATTGTAGCAACAAATTTAAAACTTCTTAAATATAATAATTTCAATAAACTTACTTTGTCCTCGACGCTTTTGCGTAAAATGATGTACGTTTTTGTATCTATATAGCATATATACGTTGTAAAGGAAGGGGAGAGATGATATATCGCCTAAGGACTAGGGCTTCAATGTCCTAAACGCAAACTAGCCCCTATTTATAGTTTCTTACTCATTTCAACATATATGCGCGCGTGCAGGAAATGACCCATTTCGATTCGTACAAGTGCGTGTAGCTAATATGCCTATATTCTATTTTCCAAGTCAGTAGACTGTTTAAATCCTCTGATTCGCCCGTCCTATTAGCATAAATGCTGCCCCATATGAAGTTACGTAAATATATAATAACTGCCACCACATATAATCATTATCAGACAGATCACTCTACCAGCTTATTTAATTATGCTCTTCTATTATACAATCTAGCAGACACAGAGCCTAGTTATTGACATTGACTAAAGCAGCCCCAAACGAACATGTTACCTTAGTGTTGGTTTGCTATATTATGCCTAATTACCATGTGGCTAGATGTCAAAACATCGACTGAGTCACTGGTGTCGTTATAGCCCTGAACTCCCCTGACCTATTATAACTCTAAGTACTTCGTCAGTTCCAAATCTAGGTCGACGATGTTTGTTGATGATGGCATCAATTCTAGCCAGATCCACTCCATATCCTCATTTTGTTACACTTACATAAAACGCATTATTCGCTTGTGTAGCAAAAAACACACAGCCCACCGCGCCTCGCGCCCCATTAAATTAGTCCTATCTGTATTCGACCGAGTTCAGATCTGGAACTTTCTTCTAGCGCTAACAATTGTGGTTTATGTTCCTGTAAGTTATGTGTGAAGTACTCGTATCTCAAGCTGCCCAGTAAAAATTGTAAATCAAACATACGACTTGTACGAACCGATTGGTTTTGATAGACAGAATTAGCATGCTACCGCCTGACGTGTCTATCTATATTTTTAAGCAGTTTCAGTAGGTCCATGTGGTATCTTGAAACAATGGTATCTGCTTTATGCTAACGTAGCCATATCATTGTCGACTCACGCAGTCAATCACTCTATCGAAGGTTTCTAATGGTCCGCAGGGTCATTATCGACAGACAGCCACAATATTAGTGATTAGCCTAGCTAGCCACAGACTTGCGTGCCGTCGTCAAGGGGTGGTAACGAAGCAATTAGAGATTAGGAAGCGACCAAGCGACAAATTGTAGATAGTTCTCCTTACTTTTGCCGATTGCCAAATCTGGCCATTTTCCTTCTACCTTCGGATACCCTGCCGCTGGTACAATCTCGATTCGCGGATGGATAGCCTTGTTGATTAAGTTGATGTGTACCGTAACGAGGCCGCTTGTTGATGATTTCACAAAGCAGATCAAATGTTTGTCGAGCTTCTCAGTGCTGTCTGTGGTCTCGTGTGTTTTATTACTCAATCGTGAATATCAATGATGGACGTTTAAAAACTAGGTTCCTAAGCGGAACTTCAAAACGAACACTGAGCAATGTAACTTAACGTGGAGTCGATCCTCGTAACACAATTTTCATTTATGAGTACTATGGGAAACGACCTATCGTGACCCGACCCGACTCAACATCGTGCTCCATAGTTATTTACTAAGAATGTCACCATTTTGATAAAATATAAAAAATTGGTATGTATCACCGCTGTCGTAAGGGTTGGACGAAATCCCGACCTTGCCTTTTATAGCGGCATGAGATGGATATGTGTCTAAATTGAGATATCACGACGATGTTTTCCTAAGGAGTACATTAAGATGCTTGAAAGACCAGATGAGTTTCGTCATTTGAAAGAAATAACTAAGATGAAAATGTCAACTTCAGTGCCTTGTGAGAATGAGTCAGCGAATAGCGGCTAACGAGGTCCACGTCGTTCGAGATGGTTATATGACGCATCTGTATTCAACTATGTATCATACAGCTGTCCCCCCCCAGAGCGGCCGACTACTGGCGCAGTCCGAGGGTCCAACAGCGTGTAGAAATTCCATAATAGTACAAACATGCATATTTTCTATAAATATTATGGATATATAGGAAGAGTTATCCAACACAACACTCATATCGGATGTACGACTTTTTAGTTTTATTCTAGAAATAAATAGTTATTTAAATATTAGATACCTTGTGCTGTTGTGAAGGTCGAGACAACGCACGTCATCCGGCTGCTACGGCGACCAAGCAGCTCGCTAACCAGGTCATCTAACAGTCTTTTCCTCATTCTTGGAATCAGCCTGTCTCGACATTAACAGATGATTATTAGGGATTTACTCACGAACGCGTAAAAGTAAAGCAAGGCTTGAAGAGCGTTTGCGAAAATCACCGTTTTTATACGCGTCATGGTCTTCATTGCTGCTACCGCGGTAGGTATAAGCGTTTGCCACAATAACTTTGGTATGAAGGGAGTACCCCGTTGGTTTATTTGTCACTCGCTCGGCGTCGTTTCCATTACAGTGTTGTGTTGTCGTTCTTTCAACTGCTTCTCCGTCATCCTCGGCTTTTTCGAGTAAGGCGACGATGTTTGTAATGGACACTGCAATTAGGACGCTCTTCATGGCCAAAATGGCGGTGCCAGCCTGGTGACGGGCCGAAAGGGTTTACAGCTTTGTTCGTCATCATTTTGTTTTTCCATAAGCCTTCTCTTTCTGCAGCAAGTTGCAATACGGATCAGACTTTGCTTGATCCCACTGAAGATATTAAAACGGGTGACACTGCACGCCGAATGGGTTTGCCGCTATGCCTTGATTATTTACCTAGCGATCTTTGACGGTCTGCGGAAAAAAGTTAGAAAAGGTACATTTTTGACATAAAAAAAAGAAGAAGAAACCTGCTAACGGCGAAAGCTAGTGGGCAAAAAGACACGTGAGTCTGTAAATAACGAAGCATAATAGATCCCTTCTGCGCTGTAAACAAAAAGAAAAATACCTCGTCCCTCTTTATACGTGTTTCGTCAAGCTTTGGCGAAATCTCAACCTTTTCGTTTTGATCAAAGTTTAAATCAAACAATTGAAAGACGTCCGTGTTATGCTCACCTGAGCCAGAAATATATTTGTACCTTTGTGTTTGTGGAGTAGCCAACAGACAATGACGTGCTACAATAAGTATACAATTTTGTTGCTCCTAGATTGGGGAGACCCGTAGCCGTTGTCTATGAAATCGCTAAGGTTTTACATTGTATCGACCTTGTAAAAGAAAATCCTTCTCTAGCGCATAGATGCCGCGAGGTTCTAATCATACCAGAAAATAAATATTTTTTTCACTAATATGCAATTTGCTAGTATTACCAGAAACGTTTTCTACGTGAAATTGTAATGTGCGAGGAAATAAGTGTTTGAAGCGGTATATCACTAGAGCACTGAACTCGACTATCCTTTAGCTTTTATAGAAATGAATGAACGAATTTTTCGTCGGTGTGGGATTTAATACTCGCGTAATCGCATTGGATAATTAAATTATCTTTGCTTATTAGTGATGCAGGCGTGAGGACACAGTTAAATGCATTAGTTGATAATGACTGGGAAGTATACTGCTCTCGCAACAAGGCATAAATTTGAAGTCCTTAGAGACTTCACGTTCTGAAACTTCACAGGGTGAAGCATCGGGGACTGTTTTATGTCATTGACCGAAGGCTGTGAGTCAACTGAATTGCATTTTGTTATTGAACAAGTACTTTTGACGTTTACTGATGTTTGAACGAAGGCCTGTGTATTAACGCAGGCCTGTATCCCGCCATCTCCGCCGTGCATCTCCGCCAAAGAGTGGCGAAGTACTTATGTATCAATCACAATATTTATGACAACAGCCATTTCGAAGTGATGAAATGAATTAATTTTGACTTTGGTAATGCTTATAATGTAAATGTACTAGAGCAAAGCACTTGAACGTTGACGGATTGGGTTTATCAGTAGGCAACTTTAGTAGTAAAACCTAGGGTTTATGATTTTTTCAGTAAGTAGCAGGAAATCTTGCCGATGTTCTATGTCAGTCAATCAGACTGTGCATAATCCAAGTACTGGACTCATTGCATTGACGCATTATTAGTAATCATTTTTGAACGCCACTTTTTGAGTGACCTTTCGCGGCATTCAAATCCCATGTATGTTTCGATGTTCCTTGCTCAAGCTTGGTCATTAGGGTTGAAGGCCGTTTATGATATAAATAAATGTTTTTAGGACATTTGACGGAAAATTGTACAAATCAGGTGATTTTATCAATTATGACAATCAATGAACGACGTTGATAGCTATTGGTTCGGAAGGTAGTCGAACAACCTTAATAGTACATGTGACATCGGATGAGCGACAAATTCGATCTGTAGCCCTTGTTACTGGATACTGACCATTTCGAAGCCAAAGTACCGACGTCAATGTGCTAGCTACGACTATGTGGACGACAGGTACGTATGGATCCATACACGAGATTAAAACCTAGGCAGTGTTGACTAAACCTCTTGAAATATTGTTGTTATATGAAAACCAATTGGTGAATGGATTTGTCAACTTGGACCAGCATCGGTGAGGACCGTCACATCCACACATGCGAGTCAATGATGCCCATAAAATGTGATACTTCAATTCCATGAAGTATGAAATGACAACCGCTATAGGCGTGACGTGAAATCGTACGTGATTATTTAGCCAACCAGCTATTATACGTTGATGAGTTAGGCTTGCGTTTGAATTATGCTGTCTAAATTTTAACGTTGCGTATATGATAGCTTATTACCAATTTAAAAATTCCGATTCTACATAAACGTTGCTTTGAGGCTTTCGCGCACGCTTAAGGGTCCTCGGGGTAGGGCACAGGCCCAGCAGAAATACCAGCTGATAGAGCTAAAGGCTAAGCATTCAACACAGACATATTTAATACTTCTGCAAGTGGACTTATTTTACTAGGATCAAGAACGGACGATCGCACTGCCGTGTGCTTCGGAGATACCTTGAATCTGTCGATTAAAGACCACCAATTTTTGTTTATAGGCTTCCAGTCCTCCTGAACTTGGCACTAAGGATCTAATTTTTTCTACGTAGGACCTTGCTGATTGACTGTACTGCTAATTAGTCTAACTTTGTAGACCCACGTTGCGTATACGTATGATTGATGGAGATCCCAAGAGAAACTTGACCGAAATACCTATTGATAATTGCATACGCTGCTGCTACCTAAAATAGATATATTATTTTAGACTGCCTTAAACTCGTCGTGCAATGATTTGTTGGAACAGTGGTGGCGACAGCGATGGTTCATTACGCATTTCCCATTGAAAATTATTCCACACAAGCACAATACCACTGCAGGAAGCTGCTTTGAAGAAAGCTATCTATGCACACTCATTAAGCTTGAGGAGCATCAATGCCTAGTCTTTATGGCAGTAGCAGCAGAAGCGTTATGAAGTACCGCTGCTTTACAGAGGAAGCGAAACCTTCTTTGACGAATTTTTGTCTTGTTAAATTCGTCGTCCCTTCCATCACTTACGTTGTCTTCGTCGTCGTCATCTTGTCTATCGGACCAGCGTTAGCTGTCGGCTTCGGGAGAAAGCTCCAAGGAAAATAGGATATTTCTCTTAGATCCTGAAACCAGATGGGTGACAAATATCTTTCAGCCGACCTCATGGCTTCGACCGGTGCGTCTATGTGAGTACGTCACCCTGTGTTCGCGTATCTGTCTGCGAAAGCTGTACGTGTGTATGTGTTGGCTGATATGAGACTTTCAATTTTCTTTTTCGCGGCGAAGCTGCATGAACGCCAACGATTGCAACAGCTGCCGTTTAGGACAACGTAGACGGAGCGAGCAGGAGCCATAATTTTGACAGCAGCAGCAAAGTCGCAAACGGGATTTAGGGCTTAGGACAGATGGATTTCACCTCATGGTGGTAGATCGGTTTGATAAATATACCGATATTGGTGATAGTGGATAGGGCCTAACGGGGATTGCAGTGTAATGCCGGGGGGCGCTAAACTTCCCGAAGTCTACATCAGATCTGTCCCACAAAGCAGCTGATCTTTGGATGCTATGCTTGTAGAGGTCCTTGTTTATGTTACCTTGATTCGTTAATCGAGACATAATAACCCTAGTTCTAGTCTAAATCTGGTCCTCTATAAATAAAAATAAGACTTCTATAAATGCTAGGGTTAATGTCATAATGCGGAACGTCTGTCTCTAACAGGCATTTGGACAACAGTGTACGACGTGCCATAGTGGCCGTTTACGGAACAGCACAGCTTGGAGACGAGGCGCAAATGTCCGCCACACATCGATGCAAGATGGGTGGCGGATTCCCATTCAGCACCCAAGAAACATTTGGCCAATTCCACAAACCTTCAGGGTTCGTTGCTTAAATCACTTAATAGTAAACATGTAGATCTAAGAGACATGTGTACAAAATGGCAGTTTTGCGGATCAGCTTTTAACCATTGTATTAGATATGATCATATCTTTGTGTTGTAGAATGTTGGACAATATACTACATTAAAACGAGTGAGTCTGATATGGTAGCGAACGAAATACAAGAGCTTGGGGCGACTTACCCGAGGGCAACTTTACCCACATCTTTACCTAGATCTATTTGTTGTACGTACATCGCCATGCAAACCGCTTGCGGTAGTGAATAATGTAGCAGACGTTCAAAGAAGGTTAATTTAACGGCTTTCACTAAGGGGTGATGGTGTGAGATCATACCTTTAAGGACTACAGGAAGCGTATCGTCAATATGTGCGGATGCTCGTCTAAAAGCAAATTCGAAGCAAGGAGCGACTCATGCGGATTTCGTTGTTAAGCTTGTTTCACGTTAGCGCGAGTGCCATCTATGCCATCATTTGACGCACCGCACCGCACCCTGTCTACAAATATCTAATTATTGCCGCACGACGTGCCGGCGACAGCTTCTAACGTTGTAGCAATTTGGTTTCGGCATGGTAAAAAAAAATCAGCAATGTAGGCGGCACCGTCTGTCTATACGAAGATTACGCAGAGGTCACCTAGGCCATTATAAACAAAGTATGCTATTACTAATATGTAGAAATAAATGTCTATTAGCAGATATAGCATTTGTTAAGAGGTGACCGAAATGTAGAGAGGTAGCGTTACTTCATCGTTTGACAGCAGGATGAGATGCAAAAAGCTTGTGACAAAGCACGCCGGATACACCGCAATATCTCTCAGCTCGATAAGGACTAAAAATTGTCATTAAAATCTAACGATTATATTCGTTAGATAACGCAAAAATTAAGCGATTCCATCAAAATCAGCAGTGGGCATCTAAATATTTGCTTACCTGAATGCGTTTAAATTTTCCCGCGTGATTATATCGGCTGGGCTGTGCTTTCTATACGGCCTAGTAGCGCCGTCGTTCATCAAGGCTCGCAATCGTCTGGCCAAAATTTGTCAACCAAGAAAATGGGAAATTAGTCTAACCGGAAGCATATCACTGAGCCTATTGAAAGTGAGCCCGACAATTAATCATGAGGTTATTATCCAATTAATATCACTGACACAAAACAGGCCCTCTCTTGTAATCTAGGACGAATCCCTCCTACACACACATAGACAAAAGGGAAACAACTTGCAGTTCTGACCGGCTTATATAAGCAGCGGTATTAATGCAAAGAACAAATTTTAAAAATCAGTGGACATCTTGACTACATTCGAGAGTCTAATCCCTAGGAATCTCTAGGAAGAGAACATTTTTGCGCTTCTTGCAAATAACGTTAACTAGTATTTGTTGCTCAATCCTGAAACTTTAAGGACGATAATAGGCTTGACAATTGTTTCTAGATAAATCTGCACAACTTCTATTCGTATAATTGTTTCTAGATAAATCTGCACAACTTCTATTCGTATAATCTAAGTTATACACAATCAACAGTCGTTGCTATTCAACTCAGTTTCACTGATTTTCATTAAATTCAATAAATTTGACCAACCAACAGGTACACGGTCAATTGCATTTAACTTCATTTTTACTTGAAACCAGTCACAACAAACTTCAGTAATATTTATATATACTTATATGTTGTTCATAATTATATTAAGCTGTTTAGCGAGTCGAGGAACTCGGACAGCTTTTGAACTGTGCATTATTAGAAATATTTTCATGAAGCCGTTGGTCATCTAAGGCCATAACGAGATATAGTGTAATTAGCGGGTGACACTCAGTTTTCTTCCTCTCTATCTCGAGTGTTTTTGTTATGATTTCAAGTGATTCAATGGGTCTTCTCACGACCCAGCGGGTAGTGCATCATACATATCTTATTTGGCACAAAGACTCCCCTTCTTCCTTTTGGGGTCCTGATGTCTAGTTACCTTTTCTGTGGTTTTCAACCATCTAATTTCCGTCTACGAAGTGCTTGCATCGATCACAAATGTTGTTTGTCTGAGAGCTTTCTTGTCCAATGTTGTCGTTGACCTTCAATGGATACTAATCACTCTAAGGCAAGCAGAAATTTAAACACTGAGTACTGACTTCCAGTACCAAATGTTAGTACTGTAGAAACAGTACTAACATTTGTACTAACAGTACTAACTAAACAATAAGTTTAGAAAAACTTATTGTTCTATATTGGTACCTAATCAGCGTCTTGTTGTGCGTAGCCGAATATGTGCTTTAAGTTACTTCGGCTGCAAAGGGCGCGCAGCTTGAAAATTATTCAAAATTCTCGACCTGTTAAAGATCAATGAACAACACATCGTGTGGTGGAACTTGAATGGCAAATACTTATAGATAACTCTTGATTATTATTATCATTATTTTAAAAATTCACGTACTCCGGGTTTCTATTAGAACTGCCTCTGCTCATATTCAAATCAATAAATTACCATTGTGCGACATTTTTTCAAAAATTCACAGCATATGTAAAACGGTTTTATCTAATTATTAATGATTAATGTGCACAAGGATGCTGCGCGTTATCAGAAAATTTGTGCACATATATTGTAGCTAGTGTAGCCTCTACTATATACCAGTATTATTATCTCGTATAGATATGCTATATCAGATAGACTTGTTTGTTGAAGTTCGAGTCATAAACTATTGCAACATATATAAACCCAGAGGCGCTTACATTTTTCGGTCCGTCTATAGTTTTCTCTCATTGTGTGGCCACGATGTTCATTCTTAGGTGGCCTGTTCTGGAGCATACATAAGATGACCTTATATTTTATATAAAGAATGGAAACGAACGGAGTTCCTTGTTTTTCTGGAGTTTTATGGAGGTTTTCTGTATTCGGTCGTGTGGCTCGGCCTGCTAGCTGCCAGTTTCCTGACGCTATACGTTCCTCGTCACCCTATCCCAGAAGGGTAGTTACTTATTACGGCCCGGCATAGCCTTGATTGTGCCGTCTTTTGAAACACGACATATTAGTCCTTAGGGAGAAATCCTTTGCGACGACAGAACTTGCTTAACGGAACAGCAAGCAATTTAGGTAATTCTTAATGTTAAAAGCTATACTTAGAATTAGTCAGTTATCTAGTTGATATATAAAAAGATACATGAAATATTTTATTTACTCGGTCGTAAGGGATATACGCACTTCGAATACTACAGATAACTGAAGTTACTACTAGTTTTACTATTGTTCTGGCTATTGAATTTTTCACGAAAGAGACGTCGTAGCAGATTCTATATCATGCGATGACACAAGCAGTAAAGATGTGTATATATTTATAAATTTCAGTCGATTATTTTAACAGTCTAGCAAGCTGGAAAGAGGCCTGAGCCTGATACTATTGGTTACTAGTCGCTTAGCTAATTTAATAGCGCCGCAGTGTTGCGTTTTCACTTAATTCTCAGAAGACCACGTTTCCAGTGGTATCAGGCCAGAGAATCCCCATTTCTGCGCGTTCTAATGTTGTTTGGCCACACGGAAGCTGCATTATCATTCATCTGTCTTCTAAAGGATTGTAATCATTTAGGTATAGCAGTTCAGCCAGAGCATCGTACAAACAACCAACAAGTTCTTCCAATACCTACCACCATTTATGGCCGAGAGATTCCGCTTAGATCAATACCCAGTACACATCTGTGAATATACTGAGTCCCGTTATCCAGTGTACAATGATCTATCTAGATATACTATCGGCTCGGTATTTCGTACTTATTACTCTAATTACTTTTCTTTCCTACTGGACATGATTATTCTTCAGAGAATAAAGTTTTTGGTGGCGCGACGAACCTTCGATACCGACCGGACTAGCACAAGGCCAAAGGTCTTTTCTCCTAGAGGGAAATTAAATTGTTGTTGCTAATAAAACCCAATGCATAAGAAAGCAGTACGTCGACGATTATGCGATAAACGAGTGTGGAAACCGGAAGACTAGTTCTGTCGCTGAAAACTAGATCGTCAGAGAAAGACGTAGGGTGTCCACAATCCTCCGACTCACAAGCGACATCACTGCTGAACGCGCGCCTTAGCCAAAGCGAACGTCGGAGTGGCGAATTTTTGTTAAGCCTTTGACAACGACCATAATGATCACAGTCAACTCGGACCACGTCCCCTTTATTCAAGGATGGCCTACTCTAACCTGGCCCCACTAATTGTCCCTGCTCTTTGCTAGAACTGTGATTGATTCGCATTTGTACCCTCTTTGGCTATTTTGGTAACGACAAACCGCGTTATCGTCAAAACTGCAGTGCATCAAAGTACAGCCTCGAATAGTAATCTTTGGTGGGTGTATTGCTATCGAAATCATAACTGTTGTCTGATAGTGATAAAATTGAAAATAGGGGCGTGAATAAAGACAGGGTTCATTGTATTTCCTTATGACGCTTACAGCTAGTTCTTGTACGAGGCCTGAAATGACTAATAGACGCGGAACACACATGTTGTACGCGTACTGCAATGATCTACAGATGGGTTTGTTTTTTCGAGTTTTATGTTTATACTGATTAGTAATTCACTTTTGTTTGTGTTATCAAATTGAGATTATTTTCATATGTATTGTTTACTAATCCTAGGGACACTTTTAAATTCAGGTGTAAATACACTTCTCCTCGTGCTAATTAACGCCATGATGTAGTAACGAGTTCTACTAATTTTTCTATGCTGAAAGCAAATAGGTTAACGGGGCGAGGCTGTCATTGCTGGCTGTGTGCCATCGTGACAAGCACTCAGCTACGCTGGTCTTAGTCTCAGCGTTGGCAAAAAATTATTGCCAAAGATCTATAATCAGGAAAGTAAGGAATCAATGAAGAAAGTGAAGAGAATCAACATTAATGCTGGTAGGTTAATTGCCATGCTGTTTGACAGGTCTGTCGTAAGGTCCAGCAAGACCTACTCCGGTTGGACTCGTTACGTGAGTAAATCCTTTATGCCTAAACAGCTAAAAACACTATGATAATCCGAAAAATAAGTATATTATAAAAGAACTGCAATGGTCTTCGGATTTTTCTTAACCATAACAGACTAGCGTATATCTTATTTAGCTGTTATTCACTGTGTAAGAGTTTGTAAGATGTATTAAAAATATGCTAATAAATCTAGGTAACCACACTGTGAGTATAGTTCGAAAGTAAACATACTTAAACCAACAACACTAACCCACAATATACGGCTCATCTTGTCTCTGTTGTCGCGCACCACGTGACGATTGGGCCAGGTCACGCCCAGAACAAATTATGGGTATATAACACACACACACACACACACATATATATTAGTCTATAAAACCAAAACAGTTACGTAGTCTATCGTTTAACAATTTCTAAGGAACTTATCGCGAATGCATACTAAGTGATGAGTTTCAGCACCAGTGTGAGCTCCACGTGAAATAAATATGCTAAACTCTCCACCAGAACTAGATTTACTTAAGACCCCTGTGATATTTATTTAGAAGTATTGCCATCTATTGATACAACCGGTGTCACTATGATTACTGGCATTTGCTGCAGTCTACTCTCCTCGCGTGAGCGAATCTTCGCCGACGGGGTCCTTCATAGTGGGCCTGGGCCACCACCCCATTCCTGCAACGGAAGGCACGTCCCATCTACCGCAACAGCAAAAGCAACAACTGACATGCCCAGGATGATGTAAGACCAACAAATGTCTGAACATCCACAATGTCAGTTCATGCTCCACAAAGCAACTAGTCATAGAAGCAATCTAGTGACTATTGTATAGCGGCTACAGCTAAGAGTTGTTGTGGAGCTCAGATGTTTGCAGCGATACGTTAGCCCTGGCAACCGACTCCGTAGCCGTAGGAACAGCAGCGAAATCGTTGGTAACGGCTGTGTTCTTCGTCTTACGCCCCTGAAGGGACGTGCGCCATCACAGTCCCGGCGCTGGTGCTAACGCCATTCGAGTTCGTAGCGTTCACTGCTTGAGGCACTGGCCGCGCCCGTAACGCCCGTAGCAGGCGGTGGCGGAAATGGTGCCGTGACCAGGAAACCTAGACGAGTGCTGTTCGTATTACAGAGCTAGCGTACAGCTACGACGACTACTGCTACTACTAGTGGCGCTATTTGATTATACGCCGAGAGCGTGGAGG